AGCTCAAGGCCAATTTTTCGTGGATGCCTTTCTGGATTTACTTTTGATTTATTTACCAGAACCCTAAATAAATCAAATAAATAAAGTTGCCGTGACATGTGTAAGGTTATAACCAATTTATTTGTCCTGAGAAATCATCTGTTTTATAGTCTTTAAAAAAAATGCCTATTTGTTGAGTGCATAGTGAGAACAAGTGGCAGAGGCATTGTGGTAAGAGCTAATTTGATTACCCATGTTGAGAAGAACTTGTTCCCAGAATCCTAGTATGCAAATGTTTCAGGCACAGTGCTGGTGGTGGAATTTGGGAATTTGATACAGCTTTACGCAGCACATATTTAGGTAGCAGATATTAAAAAAAAAAAAAAAAAAGTGATGTATTTTGCCGCTACTTTTAGTTTGCAGTTATGGCAAGCAATCAGCATTTATCAACTTTTCTTTCCAAATCAATTTATTTCTGTTAAAACGCCAAGTCAACATTAACTAAAAATATTAAAGAAATTATAGTATAGGTTATTTGCACTTATGGCCCTATGGCAAATAATGTGAAGATCACATGCACAGAGCTCATCAAAGTACTCAGTAAATCCTGTGGAACTAAATGTAGCTAGTGACATAATGACATATACAGAAAAATACTTTCTGGATCCTTAAAAATTATCATTCATAAAATTTCATCTTAGGAAAGCTAATCCTTATTTTAAATGAGTCAGATTTACAATGCCAAACATAAAATTTGAAAAACAACACCAAAAAAAACCCCAAAACCCAGTGCAGTAGCCAGTGGCTTTATTTTTACTCGTGTTTATTTTGCTTTTGCATATTATACATGCACAAACTAAGAGAAGTCAAATGAGTGTGTCACCAACGTTAAGAGGAAGTAAAATATTTTAAATGCCTCTCTCCATTTGATTTAATTATCCACCATCCCATCTCCAAGTGATTTGGAGCAGATTTTCTTGGGGGATTGTTAAATTTCTGATATCTGGCACGATGGCATTTGCTTCTGAGATGGATAGTGTTGACAGTTCTGAATAATATACCACCCTAAACCATAAAGGCATAGAATCTCAGCCTTAGTCCCCTCTACAACCTCTTCACTTTACAGAGCAAGAAAGTGAGATGAGAAACAGAACCAAAAACATACAGTTAAATATCCAGGAGTTTATTAGGCATACAATAGACTTTGAAAATTTGAACTATGATATTGCTAAAATATAATTTCCTTATTTTTCTGGATGTTTTCATTTTCTAAGAAATGAGCACATGTGGAGGAAGTAGCCTTCAGAGTCCATCCAACTCCTCTTTCTTGCGTATATTACATAATCCTTCTCTGCTTCAGTTTCCTTATTTCTATAACTATTTTTTTAATCACAGAATTGAAGGAAGGATTGAATGAGTTGACATAAATGTATAAAGCTCAGAGCATGGTCCCTCTCAAAAAGTTCTGTTTCCTCTCCACCATAGAATACATTATATGTAAGACAGGATTATTTTAAGGACTAAAAAATGATTAAAGGGAATACAAGTGGCTTTCTTTCTCACTAGTAATTAAAATCTAACAAATGCAGGCAATTTACAAGCAAAAAAAAAAAAAAGACCAAGTAAATATCAGAACTCTGTGCATAGGCTTAAAAATATTTTTCATAGTTATAATTAATATGCATATATTATATACTTTTTTTTGGTACACAAAATGACCTTCTCTATATTTCCATACTTCCTATTTCATTTATTTCCATATGTCAGTACTTCCTAGTCACACTTCTCTAGCATTTAACTGTCCAGGAGAAAAACCTACAGCTTCTTTGATAACAACAAACTCAATACATGCTCTGTCTTATCACCTCTAGTCCTCAGGCACCTGCATGTTGAAGGTCTACCTTGAGAACCACAGAAGGTAGGGAAGATGCCTGATTCCTTCATCTATCTGCAGTGATTGGCATACTGTTTAGTGCAACATAGATATCCAGTAGGAATTCTTTGATTAAAAAAATATTACCAAGGGAGCATTCCAGGGTGTCCTAACCTCTTTTAACTTCTAACATAGTTGACATATTAATATCAAGTTGTCTCATCCCCTTTTAAACACATGTACCCTTCTCAGTGCTGTGCTAATTCTTGGTTGTCAGTAAATTCTCATATGCTCAATCTATGTCTTCAATCTTCATTCTATCAGTAGAGTTTCCTCTTTAAATTAATAGGGTTCAGTTTTGACCATCATTGCATTTCAATACATTTTAACACCAAATAAATGTTAAATGTCTGTGATATTTTAGAGAGCCTATATTACCATTTTCCCTGCTGTAAAAAAAAAATAATTCAAAAGCTTAGAAAGTTTGCGTAGAACTAAGATGGGAAACAGTAACAGGAAAATTAAGGCAAAATAACAAAAGAAAAAATATGACATTAATTCCAACATTAGAAAGTATTCCTACATGACTAAGAAATGTGTTCTGTTTGACTTACACACTTTTGCTGACATTTTCACACAAATCTGAATGTTCCTGAAGAAAAGACAATCAAGTCATCATCTATCAGACTGAACCTACTTAAAATAATATCTATGCCTAAAACAAAGACAAGAGAAAAGCTGCTCTGAAAAGATGCAAAATAGTGGCAGACTTTTGTGCTTTGTTACTTGTGAATTTTCAAACACACAAAACCAAGTCAAGTCTTTACTGAAATGGCCAACATCATGTGGTCATCAGAAGGCAAGGCTGTTGTCCTGGAAACATTTCCTTTTAAAATTGTGACACTGACCAGCCCAATGTGCCAAAGACGAAGTCCTAAATCCGAAAATTGACAGTTTGCAAAGCCATGCAGTATATATTTAGCCACAAGGTCATCTATTTCCCAGATGACATCAGCAAGAGGTTTGCATATTTCAGCTGAGACTGACAAAGATGAATTTATGTCACAAGAGCAGGGGACAAGCACGAGGAAGTTCGAGGAAACGCACGCCTACAAGCAGAAAGGTTGGGCAAGGACTGCTGAGAAGTCCCGGGCTTAGCCCAGTAGAGATAACCACGTGCAAAGTGGGGTTGTGAACATTTCATTTAGTCCTGGGAACATAGCTGACGATATACAGGAAATCATTGTTTAATTAGCAATAAAAATTAGCTCTTCAGTTGTTTCCATTGGAGTTGTTTGCTGAAAGGTCTCTGTTTTTCAAACTCAGGAGTTACTATTCTTTACTAAATATTTGCTAACAATGAATGCCAAAATTTAGGTTAGTTTTCAGGATATGACACAGACATGGTTAAGGGACATTTTAGAGAAAGAACTAGGAGGCTAGCTGGGAAAGCAGATGAATTTTATCTGTGTCACTGTACAATATCTGTTTAATGTATGTTCCAATCAATGGCTTGAAAGAGTTTACCCAGATTTTACAGTTTTTTGTTTTGTTTGCTTACTTATTTGCTTTAGGTCCTCATTGATTATTTATTTCTACAAGATTATTTTTTACTTTCATTTAAATGGATCCCTTAAGTACCTGAAATTTTAATTGATGTTCTACATGTAGGAAAAGTGCAAAATGGGAAGAATACACAGGTCAAGGTGTTTTTATTTAGTTCAGCCTCTCTGCCTCAGCACCATTGACATTGTGGGCTGGGAAATGTGCTGTGATGTGAGGCTGTGCTGTGCACTGTGGGCTGGTTAATAGCATCCCTGGCTTCTACCTACTAGATGCCAGGAGCACCCCCACTCCCCTCCCCAAGTTGTGACAATCAAAAATGTCCCCAGGTATTGTCAAATGTCCACTGGGAGCCAAAATAGCCACTGGCTGAGAACCACTGATTTAGATCACATCATTAAAATGAGAGTAATTAATGGAAATTTATAGAGAGAGACATAAAATAAAAGATAACTATTACAGCTTCACTAAAGCAAAGTAAAAAAGTCCTGTGGATTATTTCTCATCATTGGCATTATATTCAGACCAATTTCTAGAACTACACCATAGTGATGAATTCACGAGTGCCTCTGAAGTCCGAGACACATCCTGCATTGTCTGAGAATGAGGAGATTTTCTACCAAATTCCACATATTCCCTCAACATCTTATAGATCATTTAGTTGTATGTCCTATTTTATAGACATGAGACATGCAGTGGTCCAATGCATTGTTTAAGTTCCTCCTGAACCAGGTCAGTCAGAACCCACAGCTTTAGATTCCCAAATCGTTAATCTTTCAAATGTACAATAGACTAGAATAATTTTCATCAGTTTGAAATTAATAAAGGTTTTTATTCAATTAGAATATTCATGTGAAATTTTCAGTTAATTATTATTCTAGTAGTAGAACCAAACTATAGCTACTCTTAAACTGAGCACATTCTGACCTCCTCTTGGTGGTAAAAAGTACATTGGAAATCTAAGCACTAGCTAACTCACCATTCAGTGTTCACTGTTAAGATAATATTAGAAATACTGTCATTTGTCCATAAAGTCTAAGAGAACTAAGAACAACCACTTAAATTTTTCTGAATATAGCAAAGTCACGTATTCATGTACCTAACTATGGGCTATAGATATTCACCATTCACTCAGCACATATTTGTTGAGTAGTGCTGATTATATTCCAGGTACTCTTCCAGGCAATGTTGATACAGGTAATGAGCAAAAGAGGCAAAGAATCTACCCTCGTGGAGTTCACATTTCAGGGCAGAGAACAAAGACCAAACATCAAATAAATACAATGAACAACGTTTAAGCTAGCAAGAAACAAAGTAAAAGGGGAAGAATTGATGGGTCATGGTAGTCAGGTAGTCATAGAAGGACTTTGTGAAGAAGAGGAGACATCTAAGCAAACTTGATTAGACTCAGGAAGCAATGCATGTTCAAGGGTAGCCTATAAAGCTCTAAGCAGAGGGACCTACAGCAAGGATCCAAATCCCAGAACAGGAACAAGTTTGGTCACAGTAAGGAGTTTGAGTGTGATGGGAAAGTAAAGTAGGATTTCAAGCAAGGGCAAATACATGAGCAGATAGTAAGAGAACATTTTTGAGCAATATACTGTGAATGTTACCTTTTCTCCCAAATTTTCCATAAATGACGAGGGTAGGCTTGTGAAATTTTGAGATTTGTACAATGGCAAAGTGACGTGGAGACTTTTGATGTTTCCTCTTTTATCCATGTGATAAAAAAGTCCTCCTGTAAAGAGAAGAAAAAGAAACAGAAAGTCCTTCTGCCCTACTCGAAGGAGCATCTATGTAAAGTTCTGAGGCACAGTTCTGGTGATATTTGCTCCCCAAGGGTAGCTGCACTGAATTCAGCAGGATCCCCAAGTCTCACCAACAGATTTGTTCCTGGAAATGGTGAGAAGTCTGTCACCTGGGGCCTAGCATACTCTGTCACAGCAGGGCCTGGATCACCTGCCTTCTGCACCCAAGCAGAAGATGAGCCACACAATAAGGGGCTTATCTTTTATTCCTAAAGATACATAGAAGCCACAGCCATTGCGGCTGGGTTCCTTGTCCAGCATTGACCCGAAGTGCTTGAGAATTGAACCAGACTCTTCCTGAACTCCAGGAAAAGCTGACATTAGGATAATGTTAAACACTTTGTAAAACAAAACAAAACAAAACAAAAAACAAAAATGAAAACAAAACAATGAAAGATTGAAGAACTAGGGACTTGAAGCTGAAAACTGGTCTCCTGTCCAGTTTCTTGGTTCCAGTGACATTATTTCACTAAACTTAATATATTCAGTTATCTGTGAGTCACTCTGCAATCTCATTTCAGACAGGGACAACACAGTGACTTATAGATACAGTACCGAATATATAGTTACAGTACAGAATATACAGACTGGAAACAAGCTTTACTGTAAAGAATGCCTGTTGATGAGGAGACTATTGTCACAACCTAATTATTTCTTCTTATTCAGAACTATAACTGATGGATTGTGTGAAGCCCCATTCTACTGCTCTGTGACACATGGATATGTGGGTACGTGTGTGTCCGGGAAAAAGTGAAAAGGTAGAGGGAGAATGTTGTTACCACCCATGCAAGGAAAGGCTCTGAGAACCTCACTGTGGAATTTTGCTCAGGTCACACTTCCCTAGGCATGGTTCTGTTTACTCTTGTAGGCAAAATGAATGTTTTTCTGAAATTCCAGTTGTGGATGTAAAGTCACATGCAAATCTCTTTCCTGTAATAGGAGGTGTTTCTCTGCCTTCTACCTGATATAGAAATCATCTCAATTATAGGACTAGCCATGTCCTTACTCTCACCCCCTCCCCCAAAATACTCACACTTGTGACTGAGGCTAGACTATATCCTTTGGGGGTATTGAAGTGGTTAAAAACACAGGTTATGAATGTAGTATAAAGTATATTATTCTAACCAAAAGTAATCCTGGCTATGTTATATGTCCCTTCAAAGATATTTCTAAACATAAACACTGACTGATTCTGCCAGAAAGTTATGATTTTCCCAGTTGCTTTAGCCAAATATTGGCATTTTCATGTTTCAACCTTATATTGGTTTTAGGATATGTGGTAAGAGGGAGGAATGAGAAGTCTTATTTAATCCTAAACTATACAATGCTATAAAAATACTTGCTATACCTAAGAATGTTAAGTTTTATATCTCTGAAGGCAAAAAAAAAAAAGCTGCCAAGTTAATTTTTTTGGAACAGACATATATTTCATAAACTTTACTTTCAGAAGAGAAAAACTGAGATAGATATTTCTAAGTTGAATTTGACTCTTTTTTCAAAGTTTATTTATTTTTGGGACAGAGAGAGACAGAGCATGAATGGGGGAGGGGCAGAGAGAGAGAGGGAGACACAGAATTGGAAACAGGCTCCAGGCTCTGAGCCATCAGCCCAGAGCCTGACGCGGGGCTCGAACTCACGGACCGCGAGATCGTGACCTGGCTGAAGTCGGACGCTTAACCGACTGCGCCACCCAGGCGCCCCTTGAATTTGACTCTTATGAAATGACTGGAGTGGACTTTATGGGATGCCTCCTCAAAGGCCTTGAAAGGTAATTAATTGCTTTTATATGAATATTCCTAATTTTCCTCCTTAAAGTTTTACACAGTTACCTCTGAAGCAATGTTAGGATAAAATACATCAAAGTAAGTCAAATAGCTAAACACCTACTTATTTTAACCTTATATTTGATTAAGTGGCTATGAAATGGTCACTCATCTGTTTTGATACACACAAAGGGTTTTTATGCAAAAAAAAATTATCAGTCTGTTTCATAATCCCATTTCTAAAATAGACACAGAGAAAGAGTCATTATCACCTCCCTTTAGTATTAGACACAATTGACAACTGAAATTCTATGAGTGCACTTGTGTGTATGTATAGTGTGAAGGCTGGGAAGTCCCATGGGAAGGAGCTTAAGGATCTGTAAGGAAAAGCGCATGCCGATGAGGGCGTGATGGCTCACCAGTGCCCAGCCTGCCTCTGAAGCCCTCTAACATGCCATTCATGCACCCAGGAAGTTCGCCACCCCCATGCCACTCCACACGCTAATGACCACTGGCTCTAAGCAACAGCTTTTGGAACAGGCACAAATGCTTCAAACCCCTAAGGACCACTCACTAATCCAGATTTTTTTCCAACTTCATATCACTTGGGCCTTTTTTGCTTGTGGCCTAACCTTTCTGAAGGCTTCCCAGAGCCATCTTATTGACAGGAAGTAACAGAATCTGATGATTTATCTGTGTCTCAGTGGCTATGAACGGGATTGCCTGTCATTGTGAATCAGAAAAAGCAATCACTCCTTTTTTTCTCCCAGTTATTTTTCTTCAAAACAGAAATAGATATCACTTTTCTCATCACAGGACATAAATATTTCTGTTATAAAAATTAAGAAAAAACAAAAATTCATGATCCTAGGGCCTAATAATAACCATATTTTGGTACACATAACATTTTGTTACATCTTGCCTTTTTCAGGTTTTTCTGTGCAATTACATTATGTTTACATAATTTAAAATCTTTAATGGCAACAAACTATTATTTATGTCTAATAATTCAAAAAAATTTTAATGTTCATTTATTTTTGAGAGAGACAAAAGACATTTATTTTGAGAGAGAGGGGCAGAGAGAGAGGGAGACACAGAATGGGAAGCAGGCTCTAGGCTCCAAGCTGTCAGCACAGACCCTGATGTGGGGCTCGAACCCATGAACTGCCACATCGTGTGAACTGAGCAGAAGCCGGACGCTTAACCAATTGAGCCACCCAGGCTCCCCACTATTTAATAATTTTTAAAATATGATGGTATGTTATGAGCATCTTTACATGACAGTAAAAATAGATCTGCATCAAGTGTTTACTTGGCTACAAATGTATATCCTTTGCAGGAGTACCATGAATTTAAGAAGTGTTAATTGTTGGGCATTCACTTGACTGTTTCTATTTTGTTTTTATAAATAACCTTGGAGTGAATGTCCTAAAAGACCCATCTTTCAACTGTCTGATTATCTCCTTAGGATATATTTCCGGAAGTGAGACTCTCTGGTTAATATATGCTATTTTTAAGGGCTTTGGATGTAAGTTACAAAATTGCCCTCAAGAAAGGATATATCAGTTTATTCTCCCACCAATAGTGAACAAGTGTGGGAGGCTTCCTTTTCAATTCAGCCTTCATCATGTCATGCATTTACTTCTGTTGGCTCATGACAGAATATAGAGTCTATGGAGTTAGGGTAGATTTTAGAAGGAAAAAAAAAATGTCTCAGAGAAGTTGAGACTATTCTGTGGCCCTTTATGAATCACAAATGTGAACCTTCCTTCCTGCCTCTGCTTTTGTGGGGAGCAGTGTTTCAGGTCATGTGTGGCATGCTAATGCTGTATGGCAAATGTTTACAGCTTGGAAAAGGCTTCACTAGGGTTTGATGTGGATCCAGGAGGAAGTAGAGGAGTCCCCCAGTGTTTGTGAAACTCAGCATGAGAAAATAATCTCCCTCCTGCTAAGTGGGTCTCAATACTCAAAAGCTGTATGAGAAGGTCAAGGGGATAGAAAATCTCTTCCTCTGCCTCAGGCTTTAAGGACTTGAGAGAAGCACTCTCTGATACTTTATAAAATGAGGAAATAAATAAACAGGAGCTGGATTCTCTATTCTGCCAACATTCCTTGTCAGTACCCTGTGAAAAAATATGTATAAATTCAAAAGGCTAAATTAAAAAAAGAAATGGAAATGTATTACACTGTTGGCAGGAATACATTTCTGATATAATGACAAAATCTGGGAGCTGTTAGTAGAAGCATGTGCTTGCAAATTTTCATTCTTCTTTGAGAATCCTGATGAATAAATATTATAAAATTAAATCAAATAGTGGGCTAATCATTTTAATACTTTAGTTTTGATACAGTAAGTACCCTTATTTTAACAATTCTCCAATACCACATTGCTGGGCTGAAAATCAGTTAGAAGTAGGCCTGTCAAAGGCAATTGTTTCCACATTCTCTTTCTTTCTTGTCTCTCTAGAGATGCCTTTCTACAATAGACTGTCTCATTTCTGATCTTGGCCAGCTAGACCACCTGTTTTATTTGGGTCTTATTCTAAGTTGGATGAGAATCAAGGAAAAGGTTGCAGGCACGGGAATAACATCATGTGTTTTTGCTCAAGTATGTCTCTATTGTCCCTTTCTTCTGGGCTGGTAGAAATACTGAATGTCTCCCACCCTTATCAGTCCAGAATCACGAGGCAGCCAGACCTCTCAGAACTTCCCATGGTAGCTTACTAAACTATACATAGGGTGACTTAAGCTGATCAAATGGGTTATAGTCATTGTATTACTTCCCCATCTACAAAAGTAATATCTACAAAAGTAGACCTTTCAACGATAGAGCCTGTTCCGAGGGGTCTTTGTTGGGCTTTGCCAATTTGTCATTTAGCTGCCACTATCTGTCCTCTTGCCTTTCCCTATTGTTCATTTCTGTGACATCTGTTTCTTTTATTTCTTCCTGCCTCCATGGTTTTCTACCACTCCCCAAAGTTCAAATTGCTATCATTGCTTGAGTGTTTTCTATATTATTTCAGAGGAGCTGCTTGGCTCCATTTTTTTTTTTTTTTTTTTTTGGACCCTCAGCGAGATACAAGCTATGCGTCATTTGGTGGAAATGTGGAACCATACATTTTTTCTTTTTGTGACTGAACAACAGATTTATTCTTGGTAATGACTTT